AAGTATACAGACCTGAATCATAACAAGATATGTATTTTAGTCAATGCACAAGGTCTAAGTTCCATGTTCCAATTCCTTATACACAAACCAACAACATGTAGGACCTTTAAAAGTGTTACAATTTCTCACAGTCCAAATTGAACTCTCAGTTATGAGTAATTTTGTAATTATTCCATAAATGAGACAATCCTTTTTTTGCATAATGCCACATTTCCTTTGGTTTTGAAACCTACAAAAAAAACTATTACTGTAGAAACATCAGATTCATTCCCTGAAGTTAAGAGGAGACATCATTAAGTGCAAGATTTAATTATCATTAACTTATTATATATACTGTAACAATCAATAAAAATGAAGAGCAGATTCAATAAATATTATATCAAATATGGGAATGTGCACAATGCAATCTGCATGTAGTTAACATTAGAAAGCATTTGCTGTCCACCATTCATTATTGCTTACACTATAAAAGGCATACTAGCATTCCTTTTATAAGTCATTCAGATGGTTTTGTAAATGTGTTTAGTCCAATGTAATACAGACAAAATACATTTTTTGAGATATTAAATCAATTGTCTTTTCAAAATATAAAGAATGAAAACACAATCCCCAAGCCACTCATGTGCTGTGGAGTTCCATCATCTAATGGTTTTTGTATTTGGAAATGTATTATGTTAAAGCCTTGCAATAATGTTTTTGCAAGCACAATTATGTTTATATATGTGAGTTTGCCTGTAAAAGTCCTTTTTAAAAACTAACAAAACTTACTGCAGTGCCATTTTAAATATCCCTAAAGAGTAAAGGACATCATGAAATTGCTAGAATATGAAAAAGGCAAAGGTAAAGATCAACAAGGGACCCACAGCATACAGAAATACTGCTTGAATGGATGCATTCAAAATGACAAACTGGAACGAAACTGCTGTTTGAATGGTGTGAAGATTACTTCTTCAGGCATAACAATATAAAAAATAAGTCTAGATAAAAATGCAAACCCTCAATTCTTTGCTTGTTTAAAATTCCCTTCCCCTCCTTTCTCAATTCATCTTGCCAGTTGGAAAATGTGAAGAAACTCAGTATCTGTATTAAACATGGTAAATCAGGTCAGTCTGATACATTTGAATAAGTGTACAGATTAAATCTTATTCACCAATTTTCATTTTCAGCAAAGTCTTGTAACTCTTTGACATAGTAAAGTGCAATATGTACACTGGTGAGTTCACATTGTGCCTAAGACATGATAGAGAATTGTACAAATGACAATATTAGATTTGATTCACTGACTCTGTGAACTAACTGTGGCAGTAAACAAAATACTTTTTCATTAGAATGCATCTATTCTTCGATAATAAATTATATATTCTTTAAGACACAACAGACTTACAGATAACACTGTTACATCATTATCACAAGGTCATTTATTCCTGGAAATGGTTGTAGTTTACTGGAACTTAGCAAATTATTTCCAGACAGGATGCCCATCACAGCCACTGTCTTTACAGTACTTACATTTTCAATCAAATGTGAAAATTCCTTCTTATCACTGACATATTTCTCATTGTGTGTTGAAAGGCATCCATATTATATGCACATACAGTACATTCGAAAAGTCAGTTTAGGTTATGCGGGATAGATTCCCATTTCCTCAAAGGTAGGTAATGAGGTGATGTACCCAACAACCTTCCTCATAGGGACAGACAGGGTATGAATGTCAGACCCTGGCAATGTAAATGTCAGGCACCCGAGCCACCCAGTCTGGACAATCACAAAGGGCTTTCATAATTTAGAAACTAGATTTTGAGAATATAGATCATGAGACAAAAAAAAAAACTCTTCTGCTGTAAATAACTGTACATACTGTACAACATGTATTGATTAAACTAACAACTGAAGCTCAGACAAAATTATGCATGGCGTGTATAAAAACTAGAAAACCATCTTCACCACCATTGCTTTGACAATGGTACACCTGATCAACCCAAACTGTGCCAAAACCTGCTCAGAAAGAAAAAAGGAAATTTGAAAGAAAAGGAAAATACATTTTTATCATCAAATCTTCAAGGAACAAGGACTGCAGCATGAACATATGGAATCATACACAATATAAGAAGATTCAGAAGAAAAGTTTGCCCACTCTAATATGTCACAGATGCAAATACTATAAAATAGTAAAAGAAAACACTGCTAAAAATACATACAGCTAAAAATGGTTAAAATTGAGTCATTTACGACACATAAGTAATAGACAGAAGCATAGACAAGCATTACTCATATACTATGGTATTTTAGCCTACCACACTCTTCCATTTGGAACAAATGACTGAACAGAACACAGTAGCATTTTCAGTTTTTGAATAATTTAATGAATTTACCTTTCTACTCATACCACTAATTTCAAGACATAAAACCTTAAAGTGTTCCAATTAATTTGTACCAGGTTTTTAATTGTACATAATTAAAACATCAGATTGGTGTTGAGAACTTATCAATATATCTAACAATAAATTAAAATTCACCAGACTGATAAACAATGCAGAGAAATAGAATATACCAGAAAGGGATAAAATAATAATAATTCATAATAATTGCTTACACTTATATAGCGGTTTTCTGGACACTCCAGACAAAGCGCTTTACAGACTCCCCTCCACCACCACCAATGTGCAGCCCCACCTGGATGATGCAATGGCAGCCATAGTGCGCCAGAACGCTCACCACACATCAGCTATCAGTGGGGAGGAGAGCAGAGTAATGAAGCCAATTCATAGAATTGGCTTAAAATAAAATATTTAAAGTATTTGGAGGTGTGATTACTTGTGTGGGAGAATTTTACCTACTTTAATTCTAAACAAAATAATATAATGTCAGAAAGGTTTACAGGTGAGAAAGTACCACGCTTCAAACCCCTGGTATTGATATAGCACTCATAAAACATACATTTGTTTTACCACACAGTCTTAAGAGCTGCTCACGTAACCCTGGGAATCAGAGATGAACAGGCTTTACTGACAAGGGAATCTGAGATGAACAGGCTTTACCAACAAACTTTACAAGATGATGGCAGAATTCAGACTGACAGACCATATCTCCAGTGAACAACTATACCATCTCAGTGGTCAAAGCTCTTTATCTGAAGCCATGTGTACAAAACAGCTCATGTGAATCAGACACTTTCTCTTCAGATGAGAAGATGAACCAGTCAAAATCCATGATCCAAACCCGCTGATACTTCAATGCCACAAGGAAAAGAAAAGGGCAGCATTTGGTTCACTATGAATATTTTCCTTTACAATGATTTTTATGTCGTCCAGACAGTATTTGACCTCTCACTACTAGGATTGTAGTTCTACAGCCATTAGATTACAAATATAAAAATGATATGAGTGAAAGTCTTGTGGTTAAAATGTCAGGATTTTCTGAATTCTGGTCAAAAATCAATTACTATATAGTGTGTTGCTGTCTATTAGATTATTTTGTGTATAAAACACTCTTTAACAGTTTCAAGTTCTGACCTCAGTGCAGATTGGAAAAAGATATTCAAAGTCTCATCTGGTTTCTGTTCATTATCAATTTCTGACCTGTACGATACAGTGCAGGAGACAAAATGATGCAGCTGTCACTTGAAGGACTAACGGTTACTCTTTGTTTTGGCCTTGCTTTATTTAAACTAAAGTCTAAAGTTTTCTCACTTGCCAATCACAAATTCCAAACTCTATGTTTGATAATCAACTTTCCATTTGATCCAAGAAGCCTAAAAAACCTGAAGCATTTTCCATGCTGAACATTAAATTATATAAAGTACATAAGAATTTAAGTTATTGTTAGTGTCTTCCATGTATTGAAAATTTAATTCTTGGTAAATAATGCTATGAACTGTAAAACATGAATTCCTAGGTCATCATTTATTGATTAACATTCACCTCATATACAGTAACTTCTGTAAATTGATTATACTGTATAACACATTAAATATATGTACAATATATAATGTTTTCTTGCTAATACAACAACATTACAAACTTGCATTAATTAAATAAACCAATTAAATGTGTAACTGGTTTCATAAGTTATGTATCATGAAATGGACATGCAGGGTTGGACATGTTTCTTTGTGATATTTGATCCTAACCACACAATACTGTATGTACAGTACATGTATGTACTGTAATGTTTCTGAAATTTGAAACAACCATGGGGAGATAACATTTTTTTAAAATATAATCACAGTTGTCCTTAAAAAACAATAACAGTGACAATAAAAATAAAATAAAATTGCAGTTTTTTTCTGGGTACTATATTTTTTGTTGCTGGCATATTAGATTCTGAATGACATAAGGTATTTTCACACATCAAAACAAGCCGGCCCTATAAAAAGGATAAAAAGCAGACAAAATACCCATGCTTAAAAAAGCATTGGGTTTTTACATAAACATAAACTTTTAAAACATAAACTTAAATGCATATATATAAGATTTTGAAAGTAAATATGTTCCCTTACTTTGATATCCATCTTATAATAGTATTTCCCTTAATACATTTCTTATAGAAAAAAAGGGAATCTATTTGAAACTTTTAAATGATCCAATATCAAGTATTTACAATGACTTTTATATGAAAGCTTCTGAAGCTCCTGAGACTGGTTGAGCTTGATAATACCTCACCACACACATAACTAATAGGAATGTGAACTAGCAAACCATGGGAGACCAAACATGCCCAAAATATGCTGAACCTAAAATTGTATTCCTTAGCTTGGCTACATGCTTCTGATTTTCTGCCTGGCAAATGGAAACACTACAGTATATGTACAATACATTCCCACACATCCAGAATCACTGGATTCAGTTTTATTGTAAGTGCATAACACAAGTACACCTGTGCTAAACATAATACCTAGTTTTATTTTGCATGGCGATTATAAAGATTAGCTTTACAGTATGTAGAATCCTAATGATAGCACATCTCCCCCAAAAGAGCAATAGGAAACAAGTTAGCTTTACCCTGAGTTTGCAGGTTTGAAAATCAGTGGAACATTCCCTCTCCTGAGACCTGAAAAAGTCAAAAACAAAACAAGAATTAAAGAGACATAATGACAAAGACAAAAACAATGGAGTGCACTGGGAATACATGGAGTGACAGAAACATGCATATTCACACTGGTGTCTGTTTATGGGACATAAATGTTATTTAATTTAAAAATGTAAGGAGTTGTATTTTCTAATACTGCAGAGTTGAAACATGTGGTAATAATCTTGCAACAGAAATAATGTGGCATTAAGAAACAGCAGTACAGTATTACAGTAAAGCAGTTGTACTGAAGATGTATGCCAATATATAATTGATTATATATTTTCATATGCTTTTTTCATTTTCATAATCATCCTCAGCAATAGAACTGTGCTTTTATTAAAAACTATTTTGCCTCCCTTGTAGCACTGTGTTTCTTCCTTGTAATTCAATTACAGAGAAATGAATTGGTGAAATCACTGTATTCAGAGTATTCCAATCTTTTAGTACTGTACATCTCTTTCTGAAAACACCACACCTAAAAAGGCACTTATCAACCAGGCATTTGCATCTGCTTAAGGGTTTTTAATGCAGTTTTATTCTTTAAGGCCCTTTACAATGCAGAATCGACAAATAATAATAACTAATAATTATATTTCCTTATACTTATATAGCACTTTTCTGGACACTCCACTCAAAGCACTTTACAGGTAATGGGGCTCCGCTCCACCACCAGCAATGTGCAGAATCCACCTGGATGATGCGATGGCAGCCATAGTGCTCCAGAACACCCACCACACATCGGCTATCAGTGGGGAGGAGAGCAGAGTAATGTAGCCAATTCATAGATGGGTATTATTAGGAGGCCATGATTGGTAAGGGCCAATGGGAAATTTGGCCAGGACGCCAGGGTTACACCCCTACTCTTTTCAAGAAACGCTCCGGGATCTTTAATGACCAAAGAGAATCAAATCCAAATGATGGCGCCTTTTTACATTATAGTATCCCTGTCATTATACTGGGCATTGGGACATAGTCCTCAGAGTGAGCGCCCCCTGTTGACCCCAATAACACCTCTTCCATATGAAGAAAATCACCAAAATAAAAACTGCAATGGACAATTGATTTTATGTGTGGGGTTTAAAAACAATTCAATATTATTCTAAACACTTGAGCAAAACATGCATTTCTTCATTTGTTGCATGTATTTATTTGTGTAGCTCACCATGCAAACATAAGTGTCTGCCTTCATTTTTGGCTTTGTTCTGTTTTTAGATTAGTCCTCAGCAGAAATCCATTGAAAAGAAGTAAGAGGTGAGTAAAACAGCAAAATTGTGGGTATCAAATACAATAAAGTCAAGCCAAAAAGTTATTTTCACTTGTGAAATTTATTTTATTTATTTCTGCTACATTTATGAAAAAAAAAATGTATTTTAAGTGCTCAGAATGTAGAGTGGTAAAGCATCAAATTTCATACTAAGACCTAGGCAAATTGTCCATGTTTTTATAAAAGACAATAATACTGCAGTTCAGTGCTATTGTCTATAGAGGCTGATGTTGGCAACTAATCTATTTAATTATTTCAGGTCAATTTGCCATAGTAAAATGATCCAGAGAATGATTAAGTCATTAGCACATTAATAATGGTAATTATAAAACATGTCCCGCAAGAGCGGAAGTTGTAGGGCAAGGAAATGAATTGGTTCAAATTCAAGTTCATTCAAATGCAATAATGCATGAAAAAATGAAATTCAACAGAAAAGGCAATGGGGCTGTCAGAAAGTTGCTAAATGCTAATGTGAAATACAAAAATATGCTATAATTGACAAGTGTCTTGAATCAAGCACAGTTTGGATAATAAATTCCAATAATGCTATGTAATGGCAGTTTCTTTTACGGGACCTCCGCAAAGTACATTTATCCCAGATGTTTTCCTGACCTCTTCCTTCATCCTTTTTGTATGGGTTAGTAAAGTTTGAGTTGTGACATCATAGGTTATACAGTACATGAACTCCAGCATTCTGCAGTTCCTAGACTGTGAGGAAAATACTGTAGAACCAGTCCAGTCAACCTTCTTGACTGTACCAGAAAGCAGACCCACCTCAAATTAATGGTGCCATCAGGTGTATACAGCATGTACTGTATAACAGGAAGAAAAAGCACAGGGCACCTGGCTTTTGGAATTTGAAGAAAATCCAAAATGGACAAAGGGAAACTTAGCTACTATAAATGCATAGTTGACAGGCAAAGGAACAGAACCCAAGAACTAACTTTACTCTACTGTTTTATTATTACACTGGGTAGCTGAAGGAATGTTATTGCTCAAAGATGAGCTTAAAGCATATTTTGGTTCCTTTTGCTCCTGGCAACAAACCAACCTTATCCCAGATAGTAAAGATTCATTGTGGTGCCACCTGCCACAGAGTACCCTACACACAGTATATGTTCATTTGCCTTATAAGGAACACCTTTCAGGATTCCAATGTCTTGCTGTCAATATGATTTGTAATGAACAACAATTATCCTTTATGCATTACAACACTGAGAGGCAGACAGGAACAAAAAGACTTTCACTTCCTTAAATACATTTGTTCGTATATAAATGTTTATGCAATCACCAACATTCGGGTCTGCAAGATGTGGTCCCATTATCAGTAACACATGCCGATTTAACAAACATTGACAACATTGACAACTGGAACCCAATTTGACATTTGACATTTGACAACTGGAACCCTGATTTAAAGAATGGAAGGCATTTGGAAAAAAAAACAAAAAAGTTGGTGCACTTAAGTAAAGCTAAATGCCTCTTTCTCTAACCATCCATCATGTACTGTATTAAAGTTCAGTTCATACAAAAGAACCAACTTGAAAGAGGAAGAAATTGAATCTAAAATGAGCACTAAATAATAAAAAAAAAACATTTTATGCATTTTTTTTGCAGCATGCAGTTTTATGACTTTATGTAGCCCATTAGAAATAGAAAGGCTAGCATGCTGCGAATGCATTTAATCTATCATTAGATGGCAGTTCTGTTTCGATAAATGCAAAGAACATTTGAGCTGGATTCTTTCAGAACACCATGCACTGCTACAATATGATACACAGGGAATTCAACAATTTCCAGCACTTATGTTGTAAAGTTTATTGTATACCTTGCTTGGTCATTAAAATCACATGTTCCAGTTTTAAGAGTTCAAACATTTTTCCAACAATGGAACAGAAAAGGAGTACTGTGGATAATAAAATTAGATATTTCAAGTCATCCCTGGCACTTACAGCAACATAAATGTGTAGTAGGATTCAGAGACAAGTCTCCTCAATGCTGTATCAGCAGCATTTTTTCATGGTTTTTATGTTAAGTAGGGTTAAATTAATTTGCCCAGAGATCAAGAGACTGGCTACCACCTGGTTTTCTACGAAACCTATTACTCTTGCTCAGGTAGTATGCGATTGTAAAGCCTTGATATGGCTTCAAATCAATTTCAAGATTAAGGAGCTTCATATAACAGAGAATATGGATTCAGGCATAGAAGCAAAATACAGTATCCCACATTGCTGAATTAAATTCAGGTCTTCCAATGACGGCATGAACAAGATTTCTTTAGTTAAAACCTTAAGTATTAGGAGCTGCTCAAAGAATTTTTTTGTAAAGCGTTAATTCATTTGTTGACTCTGCCCATTAGTTGCAGATCTTCACTTTACCCACTTTTTTCCAAACAGCCTAACCTAATAGCCTAATACTAATGGCACAAAAGTGTAAAATCATCATCATTTTAATGGATGTGTTGGGTGTAATGCAAATAGCATAATGGAGAAAACTGAGCTTTCTAAAAGGGTTGTAACTAGTGTATTACATAACACAGCTTTCCTTGATTTTAGTCCTGCACACCTAATTATATATAATTTATATATATAACGTTATATTCAATTCATAATTCATTCATATTTAATTATATTTAATATATAATTATGAATTATATATTAAATTATGTTTGACCTTATTTATTATTATTTACCTTATTATGTTTCCCCAAAAGAGACTAGATAAAGAAGCTCATAGAAATTCCTTGATATTTCTGGTTTAGTGAGTCATTAAATTTAATACCTCGATTGGCGATTTACATTGTATATTCGTACTGTACTACCTGCATGCAATATATTACACTTATCCAAATAAAATGCCATTATAAAGTAACCATGCATTCTCGGCGAAAGAACAGTGTAGAATGGCCCCTATTTTTAAATAAAAACATTAAGTATTTTAGAAAATAATTGAAAAAAAAGATGTCCATTGTATTTAAGCTGAAACCCTGGCTTCTTTAAAGAAATGACTGGATAAGACACTGGATCAATTAACTATTACCTACTGTACCAAATGGCTGAATGGCCTGAATTGACAGAGTTTGTCTAGATCTCTTTCAATTATTTGAAAATAGAACATGCATATGTTTGATAAAACAATCATGATTAACACTTAAGTCGCGAAACTGCTGTATGTCTCTATAACCATGGTAATCTTACATACATCTTAAGAAGAAGTCACTGCAGAAACATCTTCATACATCACCATTTATCTGTGATCACTTTGAAACACATTCATCTCAGCTGTTCAGCTTCTTGTGTTTCTTGTGCTTCCAATAAATTATGCACTATATGCTTTAACAGAACGGCATATAATTAAGAATATTTTTAACGGGTTTAAAACCCGTTGACCCCACTTGGAAAAAATACTATAAAAATCTACATTTCTAATTATTATTTTAATAAACAAAGGCTATAAAAATATACAATTAAGTTGGATGTTATACCACATTCTGTTTGTAACTAATTTAGTTGTCAGTTATTATTACTGACATTCAATGTGTATCGCATATTTTAATTTTGTCACTTTTAATCACTACTGCCAATATAGTCAGATTTATTTTCAGACACACCAGTTATACGATGATCAATCAAGTTATTCATATAAAGAACATTTTAAAAAACTTGCTCATGTTTTAAACTATAGGTGAAAATATTCTTTTCATAACATAAATGTT